CGAAACTACCAGCCGCTCCGCGGGAGAAAGATGAGGCTTTCTACTCCCGTAAAGATTTACACCCTTGGAAACCCTGTACAGGGTCGCTATGGGTCGGCTCCGACTCGAAGGCACTTAACAACAACAACAACAAAGTAAAATGGAAACATAATGATTTGGGTTACCAGTACAAAAGTAAGGAAGGCTAAGTGAACAAGATAAAATTCAAAGGGATAAAAGTTTAATGCAGCATTTAAGGTTTTTTTTTTGTTTCTTTTTTAATCAGTTGCATAAATATAGGCTTGAATTTGACAGCAGTGTATAAAAAGTCCTGGTTTGGTGCTGTGGGTTAATGCACCAGACTGCAAAGTCGTTTCAACTGCAAGGTCGGTGGTTCAAGCTCACCAGCTGCTCCTTGGAAACCCTATACAGGGATGCTGCTATGGGTTGGAATCGACTTGACGGTACTTAACAACAAGCATAAAAATGATCTAGTGATGTTTGTTGACAAGGACCAATGCAATGTCAAAATGCAGTCCTAAGATACTTTAATGCAAATACTCATATAATACCCTGATATAAGGAGCAATATAAATGCTAAATGTTTGTGAAATTAATGGCATAATAAATACATATCAAGTTGCAATTCTTTAGAATATACGTTGTTGTGAAGTGCCATTGAGTCGGTTCCAACCCATAGCGACCCTGCATAAGGTTTCCAAGGAGGAGCTGGTGAGCTTGAACCACCGAGCTTATAGTTCAAACAGCTTTGCAGTCTGGCGCATTAACTCAAAGTGCCACACCAGGACTCCTTAGAATATATACAAGGGGGGCATATAACAAGGGGCTTCAAAAAATAAATAATTGTAGGTTTGTAGAAAGTAAACAAGTGCTTTTTTTTAAAGGAAAATTATATAAGCACATAAACAAATGAATACCTTGATTATAATCCCAATAAACTTCAGGACACCCTGGTCTAAACAGTTGCTTCTCAATGTGACTTGAGGCCCAGCAGCATCGGCATCAGCAGGGAATTTGTTCAAAATGCAGACTCTCAGGCCCCACTGCAGACCAGCCTAATGATGAATCCCTGGGTCATTCATACATGAACATTAAGATTTGGGAAGTACTGGTCTAAATTGAATTACTCCAAAAATGACATCATCATATACAAGTTTTACATATTGATGTAACTAAGAGTGGTCGTGTGGTCATCTCTTCATAGATCCCTTTTTCACCTTTTGGTTTTGTTTAGCAGAAAGTGATCAAGAGATGCCCTCCTTAAAGTTTTATTTGTGACTTTGAAGAGTGTGGGTGCTAGAGATGACATTTCCCACCTCAATCTCTCATGGGCTGAAATGTATTAAATTGTAATGCGTCCTGGGCTGGGATATAGAAATGAAATTCAGATTTACTGATTTTGTACTATTGACACTATTAAAACAT